GTCCCGACTCAAAAGCGATCGGGCACCTGGGAATGTTCCCTTGTTAGCTGAACTTACAAATGTTTATTTAATTCACGTCTACTATATTAAATATATATCACAATATTACAGCTGTATAACTTTTTAAATTTCATTACATGCATTTAGAATAGCATAATACTTTGTCGTCAGCCATTTGAAGACGGAATTTGTTTTTTCAAGTAACTTATCTTAATGCAAGTTTGGTTTAAATTCATTCGTTTTCATATTTTGGTCCACTTCATTAACTCTTTGGAGAAAGATGACGCATATGTGGCATTTTTCTGAAACATTCGAGTCACATGACATGGAATAATTGATATATTGTGTATGCATCGAAACATTTGAATCTGCTCGAGATAAGGGAAACGTCCATGTGTTTTCCATCCATAAGGAGTTGAATTAAACACTACTAATTTCACATTTTATATTCTAAATAAATAATGAATTTTAGTTTTGTTATCGTCGTATATTAGTGCTTTCTCACATTTGCGCAAAGCATCAATATAAGAAATTTTTCTAAAAAATTGTTTCGATGGAACAAAAGGACATGGTTTTTTTACTGATCCATTTGTAAACATCATTTCTTTTTCTTGCGTTTTCTCTAGTATTCGAACTGTATGCGTTCTCTGTTGTTCCCATTTCACTCTTTAACTTTGGATCTATCAATAATTTAAGCCGTCAATTTTCTAATGCATAATAGCACGAAAAAGAAATTATTTAATTTAACTTCGCTATCTTTTAAATATGACTACAATTGAAATTCTATTTAAAACAATAGAGCTTACTCGAAACGAGTTAAAAATTTGTTTTTTAATATCTACTATTAAAGAAATCATTGAGGTATTGCATAGATAATATATATCTTTAGCCAATAGAAGGAGGAAGTGAGGCCTTTAAAAAGGCTGAAATGTTCTCCTTGCATAATCATTACTTTTTGATTATTTATCATAGATAACAAATATTTGTCTTTCTTATGATGTAGTATTAACAAATAAAGTCAATTAGATGTATAGAATGAATAAAAAAGGTATTATTTGTGTTATTTAACCGATGCATTAGACTAGTTATTTTACAATATTAAATATAGATGAAATCTTATTTCTTAGCTTCTTAAAAATATTTCAATGTGAGAACTCAAAAATATTTTTTTACTAAAAAGCTTGCTGCGCGGTCTTTGTAGGGTTAAAATGCGACACATAATGAAGTCGCTATCCTTGAAAACGGCAACCAATTAATAGGTGTGACACTGTTCGTGACAGGAGTAAAAAACCTGTATCCTAATCGAAAGGAGACTTGTTTTTCAAGTTCGCTATTTCAAATCAATTCGTAGTCCACAAAGCAGAAGGACACCTAGTTCCTTTGTCTATAATGCAGTGGTGACAAAATTTTTTGTTGCATTAGCGAAAAAGCTTTCCAAAATTTCACCTTTAAAATCCTTTATCATAACTTTATAAACACTTGTTTTGATATATTCTTACGAAAACTAACCAAGACAGTCAATGATGATGTCAATGTGAAATATAAAATGATTTAACACATTCGTTTCTATGGTTATTACAGTTTTCGAAGAACTACGAATAACTTGCTTTGAAGAAATGTACCAATGATTCGATTGCTTTAAAATATGTCAAAAAAAAATGATTTAAAAGCAATAATCAGAGATCTGCACGATTCGAAGTCCATAATAACGATAGAAATTCGAAAAAAAATCGGTGCATATTGTAGTTTTGTGAGAAAGGTTGATAAGTCTGTAGTTATTTTGAATTCTCTTCCTAAGTAATGTATTAAGCCCTCCTCCCTCTCAAAAAAAGTCACTTTTCGTCAAAATGATCAAAATTGAGATAAATTCATGGGAAAATAGTCCGTCATCTGCTCTTTCATAAATGACAAAAATTTTTACTCAGCATCTTTTTTTTCCAAAAATTTTGGAAGATTTTCGTCACCACCTATTCGAAAAACAAGTCGTTTTTACAAAAAACCGAAAATCATTTTTCATTTTTCCTAGAACCTAGGTTCAACGATGTAGTGCCAGCAGAAATCTATCATAGTAAAAGATAAAGTCAAATATTTTTTTTTTCTTTTAAAGCTTGTGTCTAGGCTAGCCTTCCTTATGGTCCTTTTTTAAAATAAGCCTTTTTATTATCATATAAAAAAAATACCTCTATAAAAACAGCAGCATTTTTGTAGAGGTTTTTTTGAGTCATTAAACTTGTCATCCCTTTTCTTTGCTTAAAAAGTGCGAGTTTAAAAAAAAGGGCCACGAGAGGAGCTAACCCTAGACACAAGCTTTCAAACAAAAAAATTTAAATGTATAAATGAAGATCTACCGAGAAATCTTGTCGCTACGATTGAGCTATTGTTGACCCTTGTTTGATGAATATCTCTGTCAAACATCATGATATAGGGCTGAAAATTTTACCATAGCCATTGCTCACCAGTCTCAACATATCCTAAAAGCTTCATGCAATTTGAATGTTCTTGGGCTGGGATCGATTTTTGAGAGGAACCTTAAACATTGTTGCAATCATTAGATAATATTAACAGATCGTATAGAATGCATCTGACAAACAAATAATGCCCACATTATCATAAAGAAAATGACAAACATTGTTTCTTTACATATTGTCACCTTCTTACGACAAGTAAAACGTTGTCTCTTTTTACAGACTAGGATTTCTTTCTTGTCTCTACCTAATACTGCGATATCTAATCTGTCTTTCAACGCCCTTCATCACATCACATCATGACAGTATTCGTTTCATAAAATCCGCCAAATTTTCGGTACTGAATCGACGAGTATAACTAAGCAATAACTGAGCCATCTGTTTGACACATATCGATGAATAGAAAAAGATTATTCAAAAGTAAATCGAACTTGCTATCGAACATTGTTATGGTGTTTTCTAACATTTGATGTAGACAAATAAATATCATGTGCTTCTTATGGAAGAAATATTACTACTGCTCAGAACTTTTTGATTCCCCTATGTAAATTTGTTTCTTATTCTAACTCGATTTCATTTTTCTTACTCAAATTTATTTTTATAACATATATATTTACTGCATTAATAATGAGTATTCATTCAATTAGTTCAATTCTTATTATTAACAATAATAAAAAAATATAGAACATTTGAAGTTTTAATCAAATTTGAATCAATTATTAATTATTCAATATATATTTATTCTTGTTTATTAATATCTAAAGAAACTTTAACCATTGAATATTTTCTATCACAAGTAATTTAAACTGTTATTCCATGAACTAACCATATGAAATTTGATTATGAACGATGTTCATGGTTGATAAACACATGTTGGAAAATAAAAAAGATATTCTCTTACAGAATTAATATCGAAATAAAACCAATCAACTTCATGATTTTTCTGCTGATGATATGTCGAAATTAAAACTATAGAAAGTTTTTTCATTACATTGGCAGGTGAACTAAATTTTTCAATTCTTTGTACAACACTCAAATTCTATTTCTATCTTTTGTGGTTACATCAGGAGCCTATCTTTCAATCATAAAGTCAATGAGAAAATTCAGGTTTAATGAAACTTTTTAGGATGTTAGAGCAATCTATATCACATTGTTTTTCTGAAATTTAACCCTTATCTGTGTTTAGTACATCGACATATTGAAGACACGAAATGAAAAAAAGGAATTCTGTCACGGTTTGGAAGGATCGAATGTGCCAATGAACATATCATCTGATGTAATATTTTTCCTTTCTCTGTGTGCTGTTATACAATCGATATTACTTTGTATAATCGCGTCACTATTATGCTTATCTATGGATGATTGAGCCTCATTCTCTTTCTGTTGTCATATGCTTCTCATGTTTTGTCTTTTCTCTCTCATCTCTGTCGTATGTAAGCTTGTGTTTTATGTGAGATAGGAACAACTGGATGATGGAGTAGTGAAGCGAACATCGTATATCGAGGAAAGCGGTAACGCTACTCCTCCAGTTTGTCATTGTGATTACAATGAAAATGCTGCAACAGTAACGAAACATTTCTATTCATTTATTTTTCGTTACAGAAACATTTTCTTGTGAGCAGTACCGTAAACAGATGCATTTGAGACGAAGTTTGAGTTGTCTTCGGTAACTTTTATCTAGTTATATCAATAGTTGTAAGTATATTTCAGATCGACCTATTTGAGTCAGTATTTACTGAAAAAAAATTAATCATAAATATCGTTATTCTTGTGTATCTCGTTACATTTGGAAATTGGAAATTTATAAATAGGGCATAGTACACTTCATGAAGAAAACATCTTTAAAAGAGCTACTTTTGTTATTGAATCTGAGCACTATTAACAATTTGGTAGTCATGTTCTCATAGAAATTCTTAGTGAAACTTCTTTAAAATGTGTGACAGCAATAAAACAGTTTATTTCAATTGTTTTATACATTTCAATGCAGCATATCAATAATCCATTGAAACGAATGATCTATTTTGTTACATACACAAACTTTGATATTTCTTGTGTAAGAATGCTAATCCGATGGAAGTATCTATTTGATTTTATATGAATCACCACCCAACATTTTATTTATCAAAGATTTTTTTTCTTTTATTCTTGTCCCATGTATTGAACATGTTTACACAAAGCCAAACATTCGAAACAATCAATAAAAAAAGTAGAATTTATAAAAATTTCACATGTCAGTTGTTCAATTGAAAGATTTTTTTTTTCGTACAATAGGTTAAAAAAAATTCTGTCAAGAAACCAAATGAAAACTTTTTTAAATTATACATAACTTGAATAATAATCATCATCATCCATAGTGTTATATAGTTCATTTGTTGACGTTGAAAATGCTTGACTGTTTTCATGTTCTATAAAAAACACAATTGGTCGTTGATCAAATGGCATGTTCAGTGCATGCTGTCTTGTTAGTTCATATCGTTCAATAAATTCAAATGGTTTTGTATTCGATTCGTTCGATATATGTAACATATTTAACGCATCTAAAGCTATCTGAGTTGTCATACTCATTGAACGAGTTCGAATTTTTATACGACGCTGTTGTCGTCGAAGACGCTGTCGCATTCGACGTCGTTGTCTTCTTGAGCATGACTTTTGTTGATTAGGAATTGTAGATAAAGATGACGACAGCAATTGTTTCGAATATTGTTGCAAAAATTTTCTACGTCTCGTCATTCATAGATTTTAATAAAAGAAGTTTTACAAAAAATAAGTAGATAATTATATATAAAAAACAGGTTGACAACCAAATATAAAAGACAAAATTGATTTATATTTAAAGATTTCGAATAAAATTGAATGTTTTTGTTTTTCTATTTATATCCATTGCCATTATGTTTTTAACTCATCAATTCAATAGCCAGCTGCGTTTCTCATATTTTGTATGCACTTGTGGTACCGTATACTACAATGAAAAGCGTTTGATTGTTGTTCTTTCTACATCATTCTTTCATCTTATTTTGTAAGAGACAAATACAAAAAAAAAACAAAAAGATATGCAATTTCAGTTGGTTGTACTTTTTTTCTTAGTTTCTCATCAGTTTTTTAATATCACGATTGCTTTATCCAATAATGATTCAAACAATTCTTCAATAAATATTAATCTCTATCAATGTGATACTAACATGTCAATAATCGATAATAGTAGTATCAGTATTGATATAATATTCGATTCATGCGATCTCAATTGTTGTACATCAAATAATTCAAATTCAACAAGTATCAAATTATCATATTAAATATATGAAATTATTTTCTTTCATTTTAGTATATTCGACTAGATGTCAAGTGACTTTACAATCATTCATAGGTGTCTGTCTTGGTCGTCTCTGTTATTCAGGTGAATGTAATCAGTTTGTATTACTAAAAAATATAACTTATTACCAAAAGATAAAGAATAATAATACAGAAATTATGCATGAAATTCGTTCATCTCTTTCTTGGTCTTCATTTGTTAGTTCAGCACGAATAAAACTGATTTTATGGAAAGATTACAATGATTTATCAATACATGATAGTATATTAATTCTATTATTAATTATAAATATATCTTTAACATTGTTGACATTGTTTGTTGTTATCAAATCAATAAGTCATGCGAGAATGCTTGCTGAAAAAAGAGCACGTCGATATTTACTATATTAAGTGAAGTTAAAGTGTACTTCTTTTTCTTTTTGTAAATATTATTTGTCTTATTTTTTTTCTGCAACATCTCGAGATTTTTTTAATAATTGTTTTCATTTGTCATAGTCAACAATAATTCAATGTATGAATTTAAAATTCAATTTTAAATGAATATCATGTAGTATAATATTATTTTTTATTGTTGAATATTCTCAATCTTTTTCCAACGATATTTATTTGCGTAATTTTCATTGATCTGATAACACTTGAAAAGTAAACATATTTTTCTCAAATTTTTTTAAATGTTATAGTATCAAGCTAGAAATTGATGAATACTTGTTTTTGATTATATTGAATAAATTCTCCTAAAGAAAATATCCTACAATAGCCTATTTGGCGACAACAACCCATAAATGAACGAGTTTCAATTTAAAAAAAATTGATTTAAGAGGATCATAGCTATATAACTTTGATTAACTCTAAGAATTGCAACAACTTTTTTTTTTATAGAGAATAAAAGTTATGCAATAGTATTTTTTTTTTAAACTTAATAATCATAATTCAGAGCTGAGCAAGTTTAGGTCGTATGTTTGTTTTTTTTTTGACTTAGACTCGAAAATCGGGTTACATTGACTCGAATCAAACAGTCGAGTCATTCATTCAAAAAAGGAAACTTATGTAGATCTCTTAATAAATTTGCTAAAAAAATCATATATGTTCGTATTACATCAGTACCAGTTGAACGTGTGTTGTCTCAAAGAAGGTTTTTAATAAAATCTCATCGTTTAAGTTTTATAGAAGCTAATATTTGTATTTTAACATTTTAAAAGTGTAATAAGTCATTAATTTAAATGGTAATACATAATTTTTGCTTACGAATAGGTTTAAGTTTATAAAAAATGATGTTTTTTTTACTGTGGTGTGCAATTACATAGAAGAAGAGTTGATTTTTATTGTTCTTTGTTTTTATTGTGAATAAAAACTACGAAGATGATATTCTGTCACATGAAAGACGTGTTGTTAATATTCTTTATAAAAGTAAATAGAAAATAGAAATATCTTGACTCGACTTGGACAGGAAAATAGTTTGACTTGCCTAGTCATGCAAAAACCTGATTATCGACATATGAAATTATGGATACTAATCAGTTGAACAACATCCTATTCACCAATAATTACTTGTTTCTTAGGTTATTGAATTTAAATATCCAAATACAAAATCGAATTAAAGTGCGCAAGAATACTGATTTCTCTTTATTAAAATTTCAAGAAAATGTTAACAAAAAAAAGCCTGATGTTTAACAATTCTGTTCTACATGTGCCAAACTGTTAACATTAGCACCCATATCTGAAAGAATCTGTTTCAATTCATTCACAATCGATGGTGACATTGTTTTTGTTCGCCTAAAAAACATAAATAAACTAATAAAATTTCTATTGAATATATTGTTATTGTACGTACGAAAGTAACCAAATAAATTCAAGTTTTATATTAAGAACTGGAATATTACGACAAGCATAGACAAGACTATAATCAACATAATTCGATTTGATTACATTATAGTCACCCTTTTGAACTATAAGAACAAACAACTATAGAAATAATTATTAAAACAAAAGAAACTCTTACGTGGACTATCAAAAGTAACAATAAATGCACCAGGTTCTGAAGCACTTTTCGGTTTAGCTGTACCTCGAATACTCGTATATTCACCGAGCCAATTTATTGCTTGATTCCAAACAGCTACTGTTCCATCAGGATTTGATGTATATGTTGCATTGACACATTTGGCTCCAGTTTCAAAAATGATATCATTTCGATAACTTTCATACCATAAACCAACATACTAAACGAAAATGAATTCTATCGTTTGAATTTATTAATAAATAAAAAATAAACTTACTTTAGTAACATCAAAATCTTTTTGTGTGACAATTTTTGGACATTCGTTTGCTAATGATAAATTAGCAAATGAAAAAAGTGTGAAAACAATAATTGAAAATAGCATGATGAATGATATTATTGTTACGTTGAATGTCTCTTATATTTATAGGGATTTTTATTCAAGGGCAATATTATATAAGCGTATAAGGTTCATGAGAACCTTATATGAAACATTATATAACCACTGATATATAACATAGTAAGATAACAAAAACAAACCAAGGCCAAGTAGTCAAAATCCTTATCAGCAGATGGCTAAATTTACATGAAAACTATTATTAAATCTTCTCAATTGGACTTTGAATCATTCTCAGCAGCTTTTCATTACTAATGACAATTATACAATAAGACCAATTTCAGTGCTGCTGAAAAAAACTAAAACCAATACGATCGTTCTTTTATGTTTTTTTTAATAATACCATTGCAAATACACCTCGAAAGAAGTTTTTAGCTATATCGTACACATATATTTATTAATTGATATTTATTTTTGTTCGTTCTTTTACTATTTACCACCGATTTCAATTCTCTATTTCTTTGTCTACTTCATCAACGACTGTCAGAAAAGAAAATCTAATAAACTTATTCAATCATGATCTTGTTTAAAATATTTCCTATTGTCGAAATAAATATTTTATTTTATTTCATATCTATGTTTATCATCAAATTATAATTAATACATTGGATACGATTCGACTTTATTAGAGAGTAGCTCTACAGATTCATTTTTGTGTGCATTCATCTTTCGATAATCGCACTCATTGGTCTTTTCATTCTGTGCTGATCTGTTGTTTTCTCTTTTCTGTTTGTAACATCACATGGAGTAAAGTAACCATTCTGCAGTTTGACGAAAGTCTTGTAAGGTCTTTTTCTGCATAGCATGCCATTCGAGAAGCTGAATCATCAACCCATTTCAAGCATGAATTCATTGATCGCAAGCTCGAAGAAAAGGAAAGATCTACGTGCAATGCCGGCAGACGCTGTACTGGCTGCTATGTAAAGAGAAGAGCACGACAGTCAAGAGAAGCGAGCTATAAGCAGCAAAGAAAGTAAAAACCTTCTGTTCTGATTGTGATAAAGTTTTTTGTTTTCATTGTTTTAAGAAGAAGCATCATGCTATGGAATAAAGGCCTCAAAAAAAAAAGTACTGAAGGCAAAATAGATAACACATTATGTTTAACCTCCTGCCCAAGAAAAAAAGCAAAAGAAAGTGCTTTTCTATACAGTTTCTCGTTAAAATATAGCGTAGCCCACCGGTGAGTCACATCGTAGTGAATGTGTTAAATAAGTATTGCTTCTTGATTGAATACAATGAAATTCTTTTGTTTATACACTCAGCTATTAGTTTGAAACAATCAAATTTTCTTTTCGCACAGCGACAAACATTTTCATATTAATTATTTTTGGTAAATCCGAATAGTTATTCTTGTTATGATGATGGGTTATTATTACTCTTTCAATATTGATATTCATCGCTATAACGTCTTATTTTTTTTACAATTTGCTTGATGTTTTTTTCTTTCGTTTATGTAAAAAACAGAACTAAAAAAAAAGATTAAAACAAAATATACATTTAATTTACAGACGATATGAAAGTCTGTCATAATAATAATACTCTCCCCATGGTTGTAACGGTGCTCCATATCCATCATAAAATACATCAGCTAAAATTCTAATCCAATCAGTTAACCACCATACAAATGATGCAACACTAAGAATAACACTAATGACTTCAGCTGTAGTAAAAAACCTAGAGTTTTTTTTCGATATACTAATAATAGTTATAGGCCATCCAATAATACATCCAAATGAAATAATTAATTTAAAAATGCCAGCAATAATATATCCAGCTTCACCTCTTGATAAAACAAACCAATCAACACCAAACATACCAGTAAAAAATGAAAGAAGAAAAACTGTTAATTTAGTTCGTTGTTCATAATTACAAACACCCATAAATCTCCATGTTATATATCCACGATAACATTGACATATGTAACCTTGACAAAAACCACGACCACATTCAATATCTAGTGTACACCAACGTTCCCAACGACGTGAATGATGTAAACCTCGATCAAAATGAATTTTACCTCTTCCAGATATAAAATGACTATCTCCCAAAACAATTAATAAAATGAAAATAACGATAAAAATATGAATCATATTATGCATGTCACTGTTAATAAAAGCGTAACAAAAAATGGAGCAAATTTTATTCACATTTATTATTTTTGCAAACGAAAGTTTTTTTCTTCTATTTGATTTATAACACTTTTTTTTTCTTTCTCCTCAATATATTCTCTTTTATTGACTGCTATTTACGCACAAAAAAAACAATTCTTAATTTTATATATTATATGCGAAAAAAAACATGTATCTATATATATCTTGTAAATATTCTAAAAAGAAGCAATATATGAAATGGATAATCGTGCGATGAATAAAAAGAATAGTAATAGAATTTGATGCGTAGTGTCTTCTTTTCTATGATCATTTCAACAAGTCTGATCTATCTCTACTCTATGTTGTTTAAATGTCAAGTATTCAAATAAATGGCATCATAGACGAATATTGCATGTATATTTATAGTATTGAAGACCTTCGACTAGATTTCACTTGATATGTGAGTGAAATATGATCATTAAATGAGAAAGTAAGATAAAATTCACTTACGATGAAGATATTCATTATAACATAAGAGATAATTAATATTCAAAAACTTATTGACATACCTCTAATATTATTTTAAATGTACATTTATTGATATTATCATAGTATTGACAGTTGGAAAGAATGATAAAATCATTAAATGCGTGACTAAAAAATATTTTTCTTGTAATTTGATGTTTTATTTAGAACAGTTTGAAGATAAATACTTATAATCGAGTTCAAAATAATGATTCTACTTTTGATATCAACACTTTCTGTTTGTTAAGAAGATAAATAATAACGAATTTTAGTATATAATTGATCTGTATCGAAAATCTTATCATCGATTAAGGAACTATGAAGAAGACAAGTATTTCATTTTTAAAAATAACAAGAAAAAGTATAAAAAATATATTAATATTAAAAAGTCTATTATTTAATTTCGTTTACAACCAAACATTGAGTCACATCGTCTAAATATTTTTCGTTTGTAGTTTATTTTGCATGATACTTCGATATAACGATTGCCGTCTGTTCGAAAGCATGGTGTTATTTTTAATGTTGAATTTTAATTAATTTTTTTATATAGTGTACACATTATAGTATACGAAATCATCAAGGTTAAAAAATATTTCTTATTTTTTCAAAATTCTACGTTTTTTGTTTTTTTTTTTATGGTTACTATCCAAATAAATATTTCGATCGATGTTGTTCTTTGATTTATATTCTAATAGAATAATTGTATTCGATACTTGAATTTTAACTACCATGGATATGTGATTCGCCAATTCTATTAAGTTTTGTCTTATTTATCTAACTTTTAGATTTGTAAAAATTTTTAGTATTTATTAGCTTTAGGATAATTAACTAAAAAACTAATATCAAATAAAGTTATTCTTTTTTGATTTGATGTTTATAATCTAAAAAATGATTTCTACTTAACGTCAAACAATTCATCGAACTTTTATTTTTTGGAATCACTTTTGACATTTTTTTTTGTCTAGATTTTTTTTTTGATAACATAACGATTCATAGTTATTATTCTTACTAAAATTTATTTCAAGAAACAGTATTAGACAAAAAAAAAGAATTAATTTTATCATCTTGTCAATTAATCAAAACCAATGTTGTTTTCTCGAAATATGATCTTTCCTCAGATATTTCTTTAGGCGTTAAATATGACTTCTTTAATATTAAAATAATACTCTGATTTGAATTAGTCATTTACTTTTTTTTAAAGGTTTTTTTTTCTTATGATTTGAAATTTGATATACTGAAAAGAAAAATGTCTACTGATGATTATTTAATTGCTTCTCTTCTTTTCATGAGAACACAAATTAATTGTCATGAAGATTTATTAATGATTATAATTGATACTACTGGTAATTTACTCAATATCTGTGTCCTCAGCGAACGATCTATTCATGATAATCCATGTTCAATTTATCTTCAGTGGTCTTCTCTTTTTAGTATTGCTTCAATATGGTTAGGACTAGTAACAAAAATACTTGAAGTGTATGAATGTAATATCAAAGCAGTCATAGAGTGCTCACTAATTGAGTTAGTTCAGTTGTTGATTGGCGCTAGTATCGATCGATTCTTAGGTCGCAGTGCATCAGTCATGTATTGATCGTTGAGTACAATTCGAATAGCAAGACGTTTTTTAATCATTTTGTTGATCATTTCTATTCTTATATTTAGTGGAATTTTCTATTGTTATGAAGCAAATGTTCCTGTAGCATGTTATATTCGCAGTTCAATATATCAATTCTATAATAATTAGATGAATATTTGATATAATATTGTGATACCAAGTAGTTTCATGGCTATTTTTGGTATTTTGACAATCGTCAATGTTCAAAAACGGATTGTTCATTTAACACGCTCAACAATTATAGCTTTTGTGACACATCGAATAAATCATTAATCACAAATGAGAAAAATTGATCGATATCTTCGAAAAATATTATTAGTTCAGGTCTGTTTTAAGCATTTCTCTTCTAGCAAAATAATTGCTGTTAGTTGAAAATAAAAAATTATGTTAAATTAACACTGTAGAGCTTTTCTCAAGTAAAGTGTTCTAATGAAATTCATTTTTTTTTCTTGATAATAGTGATAGATTTCGAAAAAATGACGAGTTTTCATCAGACGAGAATTTTTTTACTAATTTTTAGAAAAAATAATTCTGTCTAGAAATTTACACAATCAATTAATATTTCCGTTAGAAATAAAGACAGGTCGATGTAATCATAATAAATCGACAGCAATATTTGGAAGAGAAAAACTCGGAACGTCTTTTTGTCTAATACTGTATAAGACAAAATTATTTTAAAATCCATCGTCTTTACAAAACATTCAAAAAAAAAGCATAAAACAGCGTTTTGTTACAAATTCAGACATTTTGCTAGAAATCAACAGAATTCTATATAATTTCACCGAAATGATATACAGTTTTGTTTGCTCAGCATTGAAATAGGGGAGAAGATAATCACTTGAATCGTGTCTTGAACTACAGGTCTAGAGTCCTCCTATCTAAAGCATATGTCAAAATCAAAATTACGTCGAAAAGAAACTTCGTTTTGGTGCATTATTTATGAATGTTTTGTGAAGATGATGGACTTTTAAATTATTTTATCCTATATACTATCAGATGAAAAGGCGTCTGAAGTTTTTCTTTTTCAATTGCTGAAAACCGCAGTTCGCTAGTTGTTGCCATCGTTGAGTTATTGAGAGTACATTCACCCCTCTTTAATTCTGATGTAGACACTTGTATTGACAAAAATTATTTAGGTATTGGTTCTTCTCCTACTGAATTTATCAATTGGAGTTCAATGTTTATATGCCAGCTTGACATTAGATCTTAAAAAAGTTGCTCTTCGCATGATCATCGAAAATTTAGTCTACTCAGTAATGGTTCTGATTCGCCTTATTTCTTATTCAATTTCATTCTATTTATATATTCTATCCAATTCAATATTTCGTGCAGCATTTCTAAATATATTTTATCGTAAATTATGTCGAACTCAATTATCAAATCAATAATCAATAAATTAATAATTTTAAAAAGAAACTTGAATGATAATAATAACAACAATATAAAGAAAATTGTGCAGTTTAATGTAACTAGAGGCCCCTGTGAAGCAAGGGAGAAAAGCGAGACTCCTGGAGTTCGTACTTCCACTGTACTCCCCTATACTTTCCTGTACTTCCCTGTACTCTCCTGTACTTCCACTATACTTCCCCGTACTTCCGCTGTACTTTCCTGTATTCCAACTGTACTTTCCTGTACTTCCCTGTACTTTCACTGTACCCTGCTGTACTTCCACTGTACTCCGGAAGTACGGGAGTCTCGCCTTTTCCCCCTTGATTGAACTTTAATATTACAGGAAAAATTGATTTAATTTACACAAGAAAAAAATTACTGAATGTAAAATATAATATAGATATGACTGCCATATATATATACATAATGAACGGCAGATACGACGTATTCACATAATGAATGGACATATACGACGTATATACATAATGAACGGACATATACGACGTACATATATATGTATACTTTTTTTTCGTTCTGTGACCAATCATATGAAAGTTCCTGGAAAACTGAAGAAAACTTGTCAAATATAATATAGATGTTCTAACAATAGAAACTTTTGACCCATTATCAGCTATATAAGAAATTACTTGTGACGTTAGCTTTCTATTTATTTTTTTCAAAGACAAACAATATCTGCTAGAAATTGAAAAGAGTACAATACAAGATAAACATCGCTATCCACAAGCGATGTCTTATATAACTGATGATGAATCAAAAATTCCTATTATTAGAACATTTCATTAAATTGTACAATTTTCTTTATATCATTATTATTCAAGTTTCTCTTTAAAATTATTCGTTTGTTATTATACAGGTTTATATACTTGAATGCATTATAATCATATTAAGACATTTATTTATACCTTATTCAAGTTTTATGTCCATCAATATATTTATTACATAGGTCTGTGGTTATGGATTAGTTTATGTTGTGTTTTGCTCTTTTTTTTCACATTTCTAGCAATTATTGTTTTTCTTTCAAAAAAAATAAATAAATAGAAAGTTAACGTCACAAGTGATGTCTTATATAGTTGATGATGATCGTACTAAGAAAATCGAAAATTCTTATTATTAGAACATTACATTAAACTAAACAATTTTCTTTACATTGTTATTATTTTCGAAATTTAACAATTCAGTTGACATTGTAAAAAACCCATGGAAAAATAAACCATACGAACAGTATTTATTAGCCTCATCAAAATTTCATAATTCCGTTTAGGCTTTTATGCTGGTTTTATAAACTCGTGTACAGTCAAGAAGATTATAAACTCTTGAAAGCTTTATAAAATTTAATAATGCTAATAGACCATTTTCGTGAGGCTTTGTATTCTTCGCATTTTTGTACAGTGTAACTCACATTGATGAAATCTGCTACTTCGACTTTAAATATTTTTGACAATAGCAGCATAATAGACAGTATGTCTGTTCAAGCATTTATTAGTCCAAAATGACAAAATTTATGTGGTTAATACTTTCGTCTTTAGATGTATCATTTATTAGCATTCATGCCTCGGTGATTATGTTTCGAGCAAAAGTGCTTTTTTTCTCGATAAATCATTCATAATATGCGTCATTATATTTTGTTTTCTTTTTTCGTCCAATCCTTTAGAGGAAAAAAAGAAAAAATAATCGAAGGAAATGCGTCATCATATATATAGAACAAAGTTTTGTCGTCAGGTAAAACATGTAAACATATAGTTAAGAAAAAGCTTTTGTTTTGCATTTTTTTTATTATCCAATGAAAAAAACATCAAATGAAAAACAACTTGCGAGTCAATTTTATTTTGCTTGTCGTAATGATGATTTTGATTTAGTTATGCGTCTATTAAATCAACATCCATTAGAAGATATTGATCGAATGGAACCAAATGGAAGTACTGCCTTACATGCTGCTTGCTATTATAAAAATATAGACATTGTTAAAATATTACTTGAACGAGGTTTTACTCGACGTGTTGTAAATAGATTCGATAATACACCTATGGATGAAGCTAATACAGAGGAACTTCGACAATTATTCTTAAGACCTAAAACATCAAATCGATTTGGAGGTGATATATCATATGAACGAGAGAAATTAATATGGATTTCAATAGATACAAATGAAAAAATTATTATTCAAGATCCTATAACAGATTTATATAAAGGAAATCGTTTAGACTATGGAATATTTCAAGCTGATAATATTATTAAACAATTAGATGGTATGCCTAAACTTGATGTTATTCAACGTTTTTTTCGTCGAGCTGTTCAAGAAAAAGATTGTACTCGTTTAATTCAAGCTTATACAGCTGAAACAGATTTTTATAATCATGTAAATAATTATCTTTTATCAAGGCAACAAGATAATAGTCTATCACAATTTGTACAAATAATTTATTTTAATGATTCATTACATAAAAAATATTCCTATGAAGGAACATGTTATCAAAGTATTATTATTGATTCAGAAGATCAACTTAACTTATTTAAAAAAGGTACTAAAATACTTAATCGAACATTTATTTCAACAACTCGAGATCGTCAGATTGCCGAAGAATATATTCTTGATCGTAACAATCAAAATAAATATATAGTTATGATGATATTCAAAATTCGTCATTGTTATACAGCATTAAATATAAAAGATATGTCAGAATTTCCACATGAAGAAGAAGTGTTAATTATGTATGATAAAATATTTAAAGTTGCAAAAATTACTAAACAAAATAATTTTTATATTGAAATTGAATTACGTGATTCAAAATCAAACCAAAGAAAATAAAGATATATTTTTGTAATGTTTTTAAATATATTGAAAATAATAAAGTTATATGTATGACACAAATGAAAACATTTTTAATTCATTCGATTATATATTTATGTATAAACTCATCAACTGAAAAGACGATAACAAATACAAAAAAAAAAGATGCAGAACTATATAACAATCGATCAAATTCTATTAAGAACTTTTCTTTTGATATTTAGTCAAAGCTTAAATCACACAATTTTTCGTCTCAAAATAGTGCTATTAATTCCGTATAATTTGTCCTTTTAGTCAAATTAACTGAAGACTGATAACTTTATTAAGTATCATAGGTTGAGACGTGATGAAAAGTGTTTGCCAAAAACAAAAGTTAAGGTTACCAAAAATAAGGATTTATCTTGCAATGATAAAACAAAAAGAAAATACTTCGTATAAAATAATATCTACATTATTGAGATCAACTATTGTTCAATATCATCATATTAAATAATAACTAAGCTAATAAAAAAAAAAATAATCATTTACTAATAATGTCGATTCTTCCTGAAGACGAAAATCATATTCAACAAGTAAGAACTTTTAATAAAAAACCTATTTATTTTATTTTATATATAAATAATAGTTGATGACAAGAACATCACTTCAACAATTACGTACAATTAGAAATTCGTTTGATGATGATCCACCACCTTGTAAATTTTTTTTTTCTTCGTTATTAATAACATATTCTTATCTATTGATAAATTTTATTTCTTCTAGATCCTGGTCTTCAAATAACAACAAATATTCGTCCTACAACTACATATTTTCTTCCAAAACGTTCGTCGAAAATCCATGATCAAATCATTTCAATATCAAATGATGAATATTCCCTCGAAAGGTAAGATGCGAACAATTCAAAATTTAAGTACAATGTTCTCTCTACGATATTTATACATGATTAGTTAGAGCTTGTCGAGCTGGCATAAGAGCATGTTGGTTTTATACTTTGAGAAAAAACTTTTAAGAATGAAAATTCAAACTAAAAATATTATCTTTAAAATTCCTCAAAAAACCGCCTAAATTAATAATATTTTATTTTTATTCTACATGAAAAACTAAATCTAAAAACATAGTTTAAACTGTTTTTAGATTTAGTTTTTCATGTAGAATACAAATAAAATCCTATTAATTTAGGCAATTTTTTGAAGGATTTTAAAGATAATATTTTTAATTTGAATTTTTTGTCCTTAAAAGTTTTTCTCAA